AAAAATATTTTTTTATCATATTGTTTCTAACTTTTCTAATTAAGAGTGTTTTAGAAAATTTACAGAAATTTTACTAAAGTAATGTTTTTTTCCGAMCAGTCATTTTTGAAAGATTGACGTGTTTATAAGAAAAAAAAATGTCACAAAACAATTCACACTTTAATCATAGACTTAAAAAAAAAATCCTTGTTTTAAAAACTGACATTTTTAATCCTAATAAAACTATATATAATTTTGTTTTCCAATTTTGTGCATGCTATTCTTGACTGAAAAAAAATAGCATGATTTATTCGGCTTTAAAGTAAGTTTTTTTGTCTCGCAAATGCAAAATTTGCTTGTCAAAAAATGACACTTTTAATCCTAGTAAAACAATAGAGGTACTATTTTTCACCCTTTTTGCTTAGAATGTCTTTTCAATGTTTTTCAACAATTTTTTTATTTTACTTCAAATTTTTTATATTCCAAATTGTTTCTTACTTTTTTAACCAAAGTGAGTTTTCGAAAATGTTTAAAAATTTTACTAAGATTAATGTTGTTTTGTAATTGATTGTACAAATCGCCAAAAGTGAAATTTTTAATCATTACTTTTGCAATGTTTAGGTAGTATTTAAGTATTTTTATAATGTTTTTAAACAATTTTTCTATTTTTTACACAAGAAATATTTTTTTATCATATTGTTTCTAACTTATTATTAGTCCTAGTTTTAAAAACGACCACTTTTAATTTTAATAAAACTATATTGAACTTTTTTGTCTAATTTTTATTGAGTTTTTTGTCTCGCAAATGCAAAATTTGCTCGTCAAAAAAGTGACACTTTTAATCCTAGTGAAACAATGTAGACACCATTTTTCCCTCTTTTTTCTTACAATGTTTTTCAACATTTTTCGACAATTTTTTTATTTTATACTTAATTATCCATTTTTCCAAATGGTTTCTTACTTTTTTAACTAAAGTGTGTCTTCGAAAATGTTTTAAAAACTTTCCTAAAATTAATCTTGTTTTGTAATTGATTGTACCAATCGCCAACAATGATTTTTTTATCATTTCTTTTACAATGTTTAGATAGTATTTAAGTGTCTTTTACTTTATTTTATATTTTGATTGTGTTTGTTTATCTGTTTCAATAAATGTTGAGTTTTGTCCAGCACCACCGGAAGCTTATCCCGTATTCCGTTCCCTTTTCCGTGAAATTCAAATTCAATATAGACAGCCTAATATAATTTCCTGTACCTTGGGCATTGATTCAATAAGGATTGGATACAGTTTACATACAGCTCTTCCTGCATATTTTATTGAATTATCATAAAAGATCAGTTATGCAGTCAAGAGACTAAACAAACAGACAAAATGAATTCGCTCAAGAATCTAGAGAACAAACTCTATTTCCGGCTTTTAAAATTGGATTATTTGTTTAAAATGTGTAAATAATAAACTGAATTCATAGTTAAATTAATGTGACATGAATAAAGCGGACCGTCAACAATAATTCCGCATTAATTGAAAAATAATGCACGCTTAAAATTCAGTCAAAATTAATAATTGCGTGGTTTAAATAAATTCTGAAATAAAATAAAGAGACTTGAAACTTGTTTTTGCAAGAAAGTGGATAAATAACATAAACTTTATTACGAATTTAAACTCAACTTTGAAACCAACATGAATAAAAGAATTGTGTTCTTGTTGAAGCGGCGAATTTTTTCATTAAAAAAAGTCCTTCAAGTATTGCTCATTTTCGTGTTCAATTTCAGATTCAAACACAATATGGCCTTAATGAGTGTTGTTTGAATACAAAGCACGGTGGGTATAAATATGTATAAACATAAAAGCTCCGGTTTTCTTAAATACGCCAGCAACTAGATAAGTCTTGCAAATATAAATCCGGTAAACCCATTTAGTTAATGAGTCGGCTTATCAAAGCGTTAACTTAACTGCACCGTTTCAGAGTTAACAACAAAACTGAAACGGTGGAATTAATTCCAACATATGAACACAGAATCGCTTACCCGAGATAAATTTTTCAGGCGATATTTCAATAAGAAACCCGAATTGCAACTTGTTTATTGTTTCAGGAGCGTAATAGAAACCACCGAGATTGGATAATTTGGAAGCTCGACAAAGATGTAATTAAGGTAAAAATACTCCTTAAATTTCAGGAAAAAATTCAAAATTTGAGAAAGGCGTTTTAATTACATTTGAGATTCAAATTGTTTAGATTTTGTCTCCGATTCGGATGGTAATTCTTAATGTTTCATTCAAGTAGAAGAATCGTGATGGAAAACCAATGTTAAATCCTGAAACTGAAAGCGAAAAATGACCTCCAAATTCAACGCTGGGATTGCACAGCTGCCACGACTAATCCTTTCCAAAAAAGCCTCAAAGAACACTCCATGGTTATTCATAATTTCCAAATTGGGCTTGAGCTGGATTTTATTATGAAAAAAATCAAGTCTGACCATCTGTTACATAATAATAATAACTTTATTTAACAGTAATATCCTTTACATTAAGTAATAATAAAATTATAATAGAAAACAAGCAACATATAAACATAATTAAAGAATACTAAATGACTAATTCAAAGAAACTTTCAGAAAACGCTTAAAGCTATTAAAGGATTTAAAATTAAAAAAGTCCAACTTGACACTGTACATGTTACAAATTCTTAAAAGATCATTTAGAGGAGAATTAAACAGATAATTATTGTGTGCAAACGAAATTTTGAATAATTGGGTTGATCTGCTATTATACTGTGGAACGTAAAAATTAATTAAATTTAGTATTGAAGTATCATTAATCAAATTATTTAAAAGTTTATAAACAAAACATAAAGCCTGATATCTTCTTCTAATTTCAAGTGTAGAAAGAGACAAATAATTTAATGAAATATTGTAATTATCTTGCACATAATAAGGCAGCAACTATTTTATATATTTAAAAAACTTTAACTGTATTGCTTCAAGCCTACCAACATTAATTTTGTAATGCGGATTCCAGATTGTCGAACCATATTCGAGGATTGAACAAATAGCATTTTGATGGAATTAAAATTTCTAAAATCACGACAATAACGTTTTATGCAGCCAAGTGCCTTATTAGCTCTACAAATGATAAATTCAAGGTGTTGAATAAAAGTTAATTTACTATCAAGTAATATACCTAAATCTCTCACAGACTGTTTTACTGTAATTTTTGTACTATTAATAAAATAATTCGGTAGGGTTGGAGAGATTTTCCTGCTGAAAACAATAGACTTTTCAGCATTTAAAAACATTTTGTTATTTGCACACCAGTCTTGTAACTTATTTAAATCAGATTGTAATACAGAAATGTCACGAGATTCCGAAACCTTTCTAAATATCTTAAGATCATCAGCAAATATACTATAATAAGATACATATGCTTCAATTATGTAAATATCCATTCATAATTAACCTGTATTGATTTGAAACTATGTTTGCAGATGTTGAATTAGTTTTATTACGACCTGAAGATCTTTAGAAGAGAAAGAAAAACATTTTGGTTATCTAATGGTTCTATTTTATTCGGTTTTTTGTTTTATTTTGAGAAAAAAATTAAATTAACAAATTTTTTGCGTTGAATTTGCCTTGAATCTATTGAAAAAGAAAGATAATATGTGTTTGAGACTTACCTTTATCGAAAATAACTTATTTTGGAAGTAATTTTGTAACTTCCTATTTTGTTTTTATTATTTTATATTGTTTTTATCTTATTAATTTTTTCACTTTATTTAGACAAATTTTTAAAATTGAGATGTTTTTCAGTTTTTTGTCTTAACTAAAGTTTTATATTGTTTTGTTATTAATATATTTGCATTAATTAAACAAATTTTGCATCTTGAGATGTTGGTCCGGCAATTTTTGTCTTATTTTGTCAAAAATCTTTCAAATTCAGCAAATTCCTTGCTGAAAAACGTCTTAAACTTATTAAAATAAGCAAAAATATTACCTTATTATTATCATTAATAAAAATAATAAAAAGAAGTGGACCCAAAACAGATCCCTGTGGTACACCTAAAGACACACTTTGTAAACCTGACATACTACAGGTTTCTAAATTTTGCAAAAAAAATTATCGCTACATTAAAATGTTAGTATGTCCCTCGTGTTGAATTCATCATCGAGCAAATTAAGTTACAGCAAACTAGTGTTAACTAATTTTGTGGATACCCTCTCGAGGGCTAGTTTTTGTTTGTTGAAAATGTATTGTTGCAAGATTAATTATTGACACCAACACCGTGATGGTTTCAAAGGTGCTTTCAATATTATCGACTGTCTAACACACTTAATAACTGACAGGAATTTATGCAGATTATGGAGCTATTTCCAAAGCGAGCCCTATTATTAATCCTCACACGTCACTTAGCACTATAAATAAACGAGAGGCTAAATTTTTATCACAATTTTTAAATAAACTATTGATTTATGAGTCTCGTTGAATGTGGAAAGTTTGCGAAATATCTCACAATCACTCGCGCACAATATTTATTGCTAAAACTTGCCTAAAGATACCGCAAAACTTGCCAATAAGCGACTGTCGCAAGTCTATCGTTTAAAATGATAAATGAGCTTGCTTTTCAATTCATCACGTGATTATTTGCAACAACAGACCGGCCGAAATGACGTTTTGAATTATTCAAAGTCAGAAATGAAACAGTTCAAAGCTAACAAAAGGACTAGTTTTGTGCACAAATGGTGGAGGCGCCGGGTCGATAATCGTTTCTGTTTCTGGATTTGTTCAAATATTAAACGCTTTTATGGGGATTTGTTTTTTTTTACTGAAACAACGGAAAAATATCGGTTTTTGGTGTGTGCAGATTCCTGTGTCGTAAATTTCGTAAAGCGGAGGAAACATGCTGTAATTTTTCTCGGCTTTTCGAGGAGATACAAGCCTATAACTTAGGTCCTAAGTGTTGTACGATCAAAATCTAACGCGATGCAGTGCCAGAAGCGTCGAGGGGAAATTTAAAAGCAATTGAATGATCTGAATAAATAGTGTTTATGATGATTTTGGGTGCGGATGTTTCAGATAAGGCGATTTTTTTTCTTATCATTTTGAGTATAATTCCAAATTTTAATATTTGAGAAGGAAAAAAGAATAGATAAGATTTCATCCCAAAAAGACAAAAATTTTGGAAAAGCAAATTTTTTGTTTTGCTATACTTTTGTAAACGTATGGTCACGATTTTTGCATCATTTAAAAGCCTAACTTTTTCAGATTCTGATTGCAATTGATTTTAAGGGTTTTATTATTTTTTAAACAAAAATTATCAAGTCTAGAAATTTCTCTTTTATTTTAAAAATTAATCTCAAATATTAAATTAAGATATTCTTCGGGATATCGCAAGGAAAATAAACAAATTATTGTGAATTTGGTAATTATTTGAACCACTGATATCCAGAACTTTGTTCACAAAATTTTTTAGATGAGACTGGCAAGTTTATGAAAGTCTGAAATCAAAAACGTTTATTCTTTGTAAAATAAGAAAAAGTTACAAATTATTTTGTCATCTTTAATTTCAAAAAATAAAACTTTGGATTAAAATAACATAAATTTTTTGCTTTACAACGTTTTTTAATCGACATGACTTTTGCACCATTTAAATGAATAACTTTGATTTTTTTATTAATTTTTTCAATAAAAAAATATTTAACTATTTCAAGTGCGACAGTTGCATTGCAAATTTCAATATGTTCTATCTCTGTGAACATTAAAAAAATATACGGTAATTCCGGGAGAGATAGACCACATTTTGTAAGGTTCCAAAGTCCATTTCTCCCGGATTTACCCGCGTAAAATTAATTAAGAATTTTTTTATTTATTTTTTTGATTTTACCATTTGTTTTTGAAATATTAATTTTTTTAAACTCAAATGTAAAATTAAGGTAATTCTCAAGATACCTCAAGTAAAATAAATAAATAGATTATTGTGAATTTGGCAATTATTTGGTTACTTTTATCCTAAACTTTATTTACAAAACTTTAGGTAAGAATTCGATAGCAATCTTCTGAAAGTTTAAAAGAAAAAATTGAAATTAATTTTTTAAAAAGTAATGAAAAACTCCGAACTGTTTGTAAAATTTTTACACGTTTTACATGTTTTTGACAAGTTTGAAACAAAAAAAAAATTAAATTGTTTAGGTAGGTATTTTTTAAAACTTTAAATTCCGAATTGTTTGCAAAATTTTTACATGTCAGATTTAGTCGCAAAAAATTGTTTTTAATAAAAATTTTGGGTTAAATAAGACAAATTTCTCGTTTTGCAACACTTTTGTAAACGTATCGACATGATTTTTGCACCGATTGAAAGCTTAACTTTTACAGATTTTGATTGTAATTTAATTAAAGACAGATTTCTCTTTTTTCAACAAAAAATATTTAAGTGATTGATGAACCAATATCACCCTACAAATTTCAATATCGGATAAGTATCTTTGTAAATGCTGAAAATAGACAGAGTAAGTTCGGGAGAGATGGATCACTTTTGAAAAATCTCTTGTAAAAGTATGAAATTTAGAAATTATTTGGTAATTTTTATCCTGAGCTTTATTTAAGAAACTTTTAAGATAAGAATTGGATAACCTTTTAACAAATCAAAAAAATTTGAAATTAGATTCATTTTTTGAAAACTAGTCAAAAATTTTTGCTTTACAGCGCTTTTGTATCGATATGATTTTTGCACTATTTTAAAGCCAAACTTTTACAGATTTTGAGTATAACTGAATTAACACAGATGAACCACATTTTGAAATATCTGTTGTAAAATTATGATCTTTATTGTATATTTTTCACGGTTTTATATTTTCTTATATGTATTTATTTCATATATTTTTTTATTTTTTTTTATCTTTTCTATATTTTTTTATATAGTATACCTATAGTATTTAATATTCAGAACACATAAAATAGAGTAAATATTTGTTATTTATCGTTTTTTTAAATTGATTTGTGAACTATTTATTTTCAAGATATTAATTTTTAAATTCTAGCTACTAAGATATTTCAAAATTAAACATTAAAATTCTCTTATAACGAGAAGGTTGTTTATTTAATGTAAAGTGTTAAAGGAGGAAAAGGAAATTAAGTGGGGACAGGCTTTTCAGTTATTGTCGAGGTTTTCTAACAATTTTCTAACCATTTTTCATGTTTATTTTCTGAAATTATAAAGTTTTTTGTGTTTTTCTTGTAATCTGTTTAAAAACGTGTTTTTTGTGTTCCAGCCTTGCGATAATGTCCGACTCGAACAGCAGCTGTTCCCCCGACCTCCCCGGCAACTTCTCGACAATTTTCGGTCAAACCGACGTCGCCCAATGGGAAGCCCTCCTCACCATCGTCACTCTAACCTTCATCATCCTCCTCACAATCATCGGCAACGTCCTCGTCATCCTCAGCGTCTTCACCTACAAACCCCTCCGCATCGTCCAAAACTTCTTCATCGTGTCCCTCGCCGTCGCCGACCTCACCGTCGCCATCCTCGTCATGCCCTTGAACGTCATGCTCTCCATTCTAGGCCGCTGGGTCTTCGACATCCACATATGCAAAATGTGGTTAACATCCGACGTCCTCTGTTGCACAGCTTCGATCCTAAACTTGTGTGCAATCGCTTTGGACAGGTTTTGGGCAATCACAGATCCGATCAATTACGCACAAAAACGCACCTTAAAAAGAGTCCTCCTCATGATTGGCGGGGTGTGGGTGTTGTCACTTGTCATCAGTTCACCCCCATTGATCGGGTGGAATGACTGGCCTGAAGCCGAAGAATTTCACTTGATACAAGAGTGTAAATTGACGGAGAGACAAGGTTATGTCATTTATTCCTCATTGGGGTCGTTTTTCATCCCTTTGTTCATCATGACAATTGTCTATGTTGAGATTTTCATCGCGACGAAACGACGCTTGAGGGAGAGGGCGCAAGCGTCGAAAATCAACGCCATTTCGAGGAACCAATCGGCTTTGAAAGAAGTGCAACATGACAGGGAGAGTGTCAGTAGCGAAACTAACCATAATGAACACCCGGAAATAAAGGAGAAGAAGAAGAAAAGTAAGAAGAAACGAAAAGATGACAATGTTGACAACAACGCTTATCTGAAACCGATTCTAGTCCATGAAGATTCTCTCACTGACAATCCGGAAACTTCCTCGATTTCGCAACCCAACCCTTGTACTTCCGACAACCACAAAATCACCATTTCTGAGTCAACAACAGTGTCAAATTCCCCACAATTAAACAAAGTTCTTCTCCCAGAAGCTGCCACTCCTGTGGTGAAAAAACCGGGATTGGTGTACCAATTCATCGAAGAGAAACAACGCATTTCGCTATCGAAAGAAAGACGTGCTGCGCGAACTCTTGGTATAATAATGGGAGTGTTTGTGGTGTGTTGGTTGCCCTTCTTCCTCATGTATGTAACAATCCCGTTTTGTCCCACTTGTTGTCCTTCCAAAAGACTCAAGAACTTCATCACTTGGCTAGGTTACATCAATTCAGT